GGGGCTTCTCATTAGCTGTTAATTCCTTTGCAATTGATTGGCCAGTGTCATCAAAGAAATATCCCTTGGGCAGCAACTGGGACACAGCATGAGAAGAAGAAGAAGAAGAAGAGATTGGATTTATACCCCGCCCTTCACTACCCAAAGGAGTCTCAGAGCGGCTTACAAACTCCTTTCCCTTCCCCTCCCCACAACAGACACCCTGTGAGGTAGGTGGGGCTGAGAGAGCTCTGAGAGAAACTGCTCTTTTTCAAGAACAGCTGTGCCAGAACTATGGCTTGCCCAAGGTCATCCAGCAGGTGCAAGTGGAGGAGTGGGGAATCAATCCCGGTTCTCCCAGATTAGAGTCCGCACACTTAACCACTACACCAAACTGGCTGTGTGACTTGCGCTGTGCGACTGCAGGCACACTGCCACCTTTTCTGGGGGGGGGGAGAGAAGTAGGGATGCCAGCCTCCAGGTGGGACCTGGGGATTCCGTGGAATTACAGCTCATTTCCAGACTACAGAGATCAGTTCCCCTAGAGAAAATAGCTGCTTTGGAGGGTGGGGTCTATGGCATTGCACCCCACTGAGGTCCCTGTCCTCCCCGGGCTCCACCCCCAAATCTCCAGGAATTTCCTAACCTGGATCTGGCAATCCTCCCCCCCCATCCCGTGTTGGGATGCCAGGTGCTTTGCTCTCGCCAGTGGGGGGGCGGACAAAAAAAAAAGGCCCCCCCCCCCCCATACAGGCCAGCCGAGTTACTCTTGTCCCAGGCACTTGCCATTACTGGGGACAAGAGCAACCTGCCTGGCCTGTGCAGCAGGGGAGAATGGGGGAGAAAAGCCCTTCCCTCCCGCAGCAGGAGCCCTGAGATGACAGAGGGCTGGATAAGGAAAGCCACCTGCATAGGCTCAACAAATGGAGGAAAACCTTCTTTTGTTCCTTGTTCTCCCCTGCTGAAGGGGGCTTCCTGTGTGTGTTTATGTTTGTGTCATTCCCCCCCCTTTAAAATTCCTCTTTTGTCCCTAAGTGGACTTCCTCTATGTGTATGCTTTGTACTCCCCTCCACCCCAGTTTCATCTCTCTGTTTTAATTCCCCTTCTTTATTCCCCTATTGGAGCTGCGGTGGCTCAAGTGGTTAAGACGCTGAACTGCAGGCTGTGGAAGGACGGTAGTTCAGCAGTTCGAGACCCGGGTGCCGCATGACGGAGTGAGCTCCCGTCTCTAGTTCCAGCTCGTGCCAACCTAGCAGTTCGAAAGCAAGAAATTGCAAGTAGATAAATAGGTACCACTTCGGTGGGAAGGTAACAGCGTTCCGTGCGCCTTGGTGTTTAGTCATGCCGGCCACATGACCACGGAAACGTCTTCGGACAGCGCTGGCTCTTCGGCTTTGAAACGGAGATGAGCACCGCAACCCTAGAGTCAGATTCGACTGGCTTTTGAGCAAGGGAACCTTTACCTTTACTATTCCCCTATTATATGCCACTATGATGTTAGTCTTTTTGTGGAGTTTTACTGCATCATCTTTGTACCATGGTGCAGATCTGTCTTGAGTTGTTGATGTATACAGTGTGCTGCTGATAGCAGCTTACCTGCTTACCTGTGCAAATACTATACTGAGGTAGTATGCTAAAAACAGAGTGGAACTTGCTTCTGATTAAACAGGATTGGGCTACACAGATCAAACCCTCAACACACCTAGCTGGAATTTCCATGAAAGTCCTCTGGCCTTTCCCCATTTTAATTTATGTGTTTAAAAATCAGGTGGACGTCAATGATAACAACAGTGCATCAAATTTTGTTCACTTTTTAAAAAATCTTTTGTCTTCTAGTCTAAGTCCTGCCATGATCTTTCTCTTATTGTACATCACACATGTGCAAAGAGCTCTTTTCGCAGGCATGATGATGCTCACACCAGTCCTTCAACACCAACTGTTGTTTTTAGAAGTAATCATGCAGGTTAAAATACAGGCACTCGTGTAAAGGGGGATAGCCAGGAGAATCTTTCTTTCTTTCTTTCTTTCTTTCTTTCTTTCTTTCTTTCTTTCTTTCTTTCTTTCTTTCTTTCTTTCTTTCTTTCTTTCTTTCTTTCATGTGTTTAAAAATTGTGATTTGTGCCTTTTAGAAAAAGTGGCTACAAAAATTCAAAATACAGAATCAGGCTCTTATTCTACTAATTTTGAGGCTGTGTGGTTTCCCTTTTTAAGCTTTGTGTCTCGACACGACCAGACAAGATGGTTATCGGATTGAACTAAATCAATGTTAATAAACTGACTAGGCAACGTTATTTCCCCACCTGCAAAAAATAAGTTGTGATGGCCTTGGGAGAGAAGGATCGGACTAAATTGATGTTATTAAATTGACTTGCCTGAGATATTTCCCTTCCCACAAAGAACAAGTTGTGATGGCCTTGGGAGAGATGGAAACCTTGTTATATTTAGTATTTGGCATTTCCTTTATGCACTATATTTGAATATTTAGATTTGTTATCTTATGTTTGGTAGATGAATTTTGTAATTTATTAGGTTGAATAAAGATTTTTATTTTTTTTAAAGTGTGTTTAGATGCCTGGAAAATGAATGCTGCCTAACGAGGGTTTGTTAGCTATCTCAACGGGAATAGTTATTTTGTGTGTATACTCAAAAAATATTTCTAGACAATACATTCATTTTAAAATGATACAAGGTGACAGCCATTTTGTGCTTTGTTCCACCTCTAGTTGTAGCCATTTTGTGCTTGTTTCCCTTCTCAATCTCTTTATTGTTTCTACTTCCCCACAGCAATGTGGTGTTTCCTTGCTGCAATAATTTGTGGAAGATCACAGCAAACATTGGGGGGTGGGGGGCAGCCATGTGGATACGAAAGTCTGGGTATTCTTGGTCCTGCCTACATCAGTGCCAGTATCCCTGCTCCCGTCCCCCATGGTAAATGTTTTCCCCAGCCATGGAGGGTTTTTTAGTTTAAAAATTGGCAATTGACATATTGTTATAGTGTTACAGCTTTCATTTGTCTCTATCCCCTTTTGTTGCAGAAATATATTCCTCCTCCTTACTTAAAAAGAAAGTTGGGAAGTAGCAGATAATTATTACGTTATCATGATATACAATTCAAAAAAATACAACTGAAAAACCCGTGCAGTGCAGGGAGTGGGAATGGCTGCCATGAAGGACTGGAGCAAGGAAAATATTGACAACTTGCCACGTGGAAGCCCTCTCACAGTGGCCATTTTGTGGTTGTGCCCACCACCCTGTGCCAGAATTCCAAAAGTGCCCACAGGCTCAAAAATGTTGGAGACCTCTGAATTAAGGTCTGTTTTGCTGTGCTTTTTAATCTGGCCCCAAACTTTTAAAATCATTAAATTTAAGTAATCAACCAGTACATCTAACAAGAAAGCAACAAGATCAATTTTCCAGTGTGTTCTGGAAGTCTTATAAGTATATATTTCCTTGTTTCATTTTGGAGTTTCTGTAGTTTACCTTCTGATTTTTGCAGGTCCAAACTACCTGCATGATCTATGTCCTAGTTGATACAGCCTGCAGATATTCTTATTACCTTATTAAAAGGGTCACCAACCTTTTTGAGCCTAGGGTTGCCAGGTCTGGGTTGGAAAATATCTGGAGACTTTGGGGGCGGATCTGGGAGAGTGGGGTTTGGGGAGGGGAGGTCCCCCAACACGGTACAATGCCATAGAGGCCACCCTTCAAACCAGCCATTTTCTCTAGGGGAACTGATCTCTGTCAACTGGAGATCAGTTGTAAAAGTGGGAAATACCCAGGCCCCACCTGGAGGCTGGCAACCCTATTTGAGCCTGTGGGCACTTTTGGAATTCTGATACAGGGTGGTCAGCAAAACCACAAAATGGCCCCATCAGCGTATATTTAAGGATTTCTTTGTTCCTATGTGCATTATCTCTTATCCATGGTGAACTTCATTTGCCTCAAGAATGGGTACCTGGCTTCACCTTCTGAGGAGGAGAGCAGGCATAGTGGGGCCTGGGTACAGCAGTGCTTGGCTAGACCAGAGAGATG